AGTATTACCATAAAGTTAATAATAAATAAAAAAATTACTAAATTAGTCAAGAGCTTACTCCAAAAATTGACGGTAAGAGATTTCAGAGACGAAAGCTTATCACGATAAGTTTGATTCATGTAAAAATCAATGTTGAAATACTAACTTTCATACAAAACTTATTTAAACTATCAATTAATGCTTAATATCGTTTACATTATAAATAATATAATAATATAACTTACAACTAGTTAAACTGTTAAATAATCAGTAAACTTGTATTTGCTTTCACTAATTATGGGTCACTTTGTTAACGGCCAGACTTTAGCCAAAGTACTGTTGACAACTACTGATGTATCAAATAATCAAAATGTACATGCGACCACATGGTATCGTCTCAATTGAACGATTCCTCGTTGGTATACGACCTCTTGATGAATTTCTTGAACGATTCCTCGCTGGTATACGACCTCTTGATGAATTTCTTGAACGATTCCTCGCTGGTATGACCTCTTGATGTATTCAGGTTCAATTTCCGGTGACTTGGGACAATCTTAGAGAAAATGATCCTGCAAACTACTACCATAACATGCACATCATGCTCTTCTACACTCCATAATGTTCATGATCACAAATTGGGGCACCAAAAGCTCTAGTTGAGCCTCTTATACTAGCCATTGATGTAGCTTGTTGTTGGGGACCATATCTAACAAGACCCTGCACAGAAATTAATCTAACATTCAAGGGCTCTTCAATAATTTCAAACAATATTAAAACATAAATTAACTTAATAATACCGGGATGAATAATACCAAGACAACAGAACCAAAAGCAAATCAAACTGCGCCTATAAACAGCGCATCGTGCAACGATTTATTGAAAAAATGAAGGATCCATGCGTATAATTATAAACATAATTCGATAAGATTAGGAATACCTGAACATATTTAGCTCGAACGTAAGGGCTGTTCCCAGGAAGAAGCTTGTGAAGGGCGTGGTAAGGAGGCTCCTGCAACTGTTTTTTCTCTTTCATTTGCTCTTAGGATCTGAGGAAACAAAGAAATGGAAGATTTTGGAGATGTTTAAAGGATATTTTAGTTTTTTCCTTCTTTCAATGGCAGAAGTGGGGAGAGACGAGTGAGATTTTAAATAAATGAGAGATGGTATGGGGAAGAAGAGATGAACTTGTCAGCCAGACACATTGTTTTGGGATTTGATTTGGGTTTCCGGCGTATGGCCTTTTCTATATTTTGAGTCTCCAAAGACGGGTTAGCCCAGGCTGTGGGCTTTCTTTTAATATTTTATTAAATTTGACTTTGGATTTAGAGACATTAAATCCAACTTTGATGGCCAAATAATCCAAATGGAAAAAAAATATTTGGAGAAATATTGACATTTGAAAATTTATTACGAGAAAATGATAAAATTTATAAAATATGATAAATAATTAAAATTCGTTACGTTCATATGACGAGTTTCATATAATTTTCTTTCAACCTACATGACCAGTTCTATTTTTAATATATTTTATGAAATTCATCGTGTGAAGATTACGAGTTATATGTGTATTGTGCCAAATGATTCATATCACAAAATATTTTCTTTAACACCTGTATTTTTCAAAAAAAAAATCAAACGATAACACTTTCAAATTTTATTGTAAATATAAATCATAAAATAAAAATATTTTATTTTATTGAATTTCAAATATTTTTTCCAAGTATTATAGCTTTATAATAATTTTTTAATGATATAATTTTTGTCGACTGTTAAAACGCTCTAGAATGATGAAAACTTAATTATTGATTTAATTCTAATATATTGTCCCTTTAAATAGTCTATTGGTTTAAAACAATCTTAAAATATTTCTTATTTCAGAAAGTGATTATTAAATAAATTTTAAAATCAATAAAATCTAATTTGTAGCAGTTGCAAAACTGAATACAATTAGAGTGTTATTATTGTTGAAAATAAATGAAGATTAGTTACTTAGCAATTGGATATAATAATGTATATTTTTTTATAGTCCGGAGTGTTTTTATAATGTAGTATTTGTTTATAATCTTTTTTAACTATGATGATGCGCACACTCTACAGACAGTTGCTCAAACTCAAAATCTCAAGAGAAAATAACATTTTATTTAACCATTATAATCCATCCCTCAACGAATTGACGTATCCGGATAGGAATTTGGGAGAAAATATCTATATGAAAATAAACTTGAATAAAGTTGCAATTTTACAATTGTCGAGTTTATATAACTCATACTCATATCAAATCTAACGAGGACTTAAAAGCTAAATACAGTTGATCTGCTAACAATACTCATTACTCACGGGTTTAAGAGGAAGTGTAGGTTAAAAGCGTGTAAATATTTTATTTACTGCCTTAATTATTGTATGCTAGTAATACTCACGTCTAATGATCTAAAGCATGGTTTTCAGAATCGGATCGGTTAGCGAACCAATCATGTTACCAGTTTATTAGTTCAACTGGTCAAACCGGTCTGATCGGTCGGAAGAATCGGACGACGTCATAATTATTTAAAAAATTTAAAAAAAAAATACCAAAAATATTTAATAAAAAATATTTTTTTATATTACAAGTCATATTCAAAGCAAGTCATAACATATATAAGTTAAAAACCATAAAATCAAGTGAAACAAAATGATTCAAATTAACTACAACATAATATTTAAGGTAAAACATATTAAATAATAACTATAATTATATAACTATAATAAAAAAATAAATTTAGGGTTAAAAAAATCATAACAAAATGATATTGTTTGGTTTAATTTTTTTTTAAAAACAATCTCACATGGCTAAGAAACATAGAAGAGCATCCCAAAAGTCTAAAGAGTAAAAATATGAGAATAAAACAATCCTACATTGCTAAGAAACATAGAAGAGCATCACAACTAACTTCTATAAATAATAGAGGTAATTTTGCATTTAAAATCATAGAGCCTTTGGGTGAGCATTAAGTGAACTATTATTTTACTTCAATCAAGCTCGAATTTTAGGCTTCAATCTAGCTTCTAAATTTTTTTTTAGTTCAAGCCTTTTTGAGTTTAAGTTTCAATATTATATTTCGAGTTTGAGTTAAACTTGATAATTTTTAACTTGTGAGTTTGAGTAGAGTTGAGCTTATTTTTAAAGTTTTCAAGTTCGAGTCGAGCTCAGCAATACCAGAGTTCGACTTGGCTCGTTTAACAAACGACGTTGTTTGGTTTAATTTTTTTTTTAAAAACAAAATTTCCGGTTTTTTTTCGGTTTTTAGCCGGTCCGGTTCGAACGATTTAACGGTTCTGACCGGCTCACTAATAACGATTTAACCGGTTTAAATTGAACCGAACTAACATACGATTTCCGATTGAACCGGTTGAACCGGCCAATTAAGTCCGGTTTTCAAAACAATGATCTAAAGTGTAATATTCTTTATCTTATCTAAAGTGAAGATAATTAAAGTAATAGTCGCTATTTAATCAGCCTATCAATAGGCGGCTTCTTGTAAGTTTTGAATTAAAATGAAGAAAAATGAGAGAGTGACGTCGGTATCCTCTTTACCAAAATACTTAAAATACCTACATTTCATTACAAAATTACAGCCGGAAGCTTAGCATTAGTTGTGATAGCATGTATATATGTAATTCCAGTCATAATGTTCTTTCTCAGGGTAGGGATGGCAAAAAAATCCGAATCCGACAGGAAAATTCGAAAATCGAATTAAACGGGGACGGGAAAAAAATCGTTTATGCTAAACGGGGACGGGGACGGGGAAAAACCGTTTATGTTAAACGGGAACGAAGACGGGTTTAGTAATCCCCGCCCCAATTACCCGATTACCCGGCCCGATAAATATTAAAAATAATTATATATATATACATACTAATAATAAATTAAATTTAAATTAAAAAATATATATAATATTTATATATTTAATTTAAATATATATTTCCGGCCTGATACCCGGTCCGATACCCGTTTAAATAACCGTTTATGCTAAACGGAGATACCCGTTTCCCAGCGGTTTTCCCCGATTACCCGATGGGGATCCCCGTTTAAATTCTCGCAGTTTTTTAAGCGGGGACGGGTACGAATTTTTTAAACAGGGACGGGGGATCAATACCCGGCCCGAACCCGGCCGTTTTCCATCCCTACTCAGGGGAAGATGAATGAGACAGCTTGTAAATCTCTGGAATTCTAAAGCAAACTTTCTCACATGAGATGTTATAAATAAGCCACAACATTTGAGATGAATACAGCAAGTCCTTTCATATGCCTGAGCTTGAAGAAAGAGAACCGATGTCCCTAATCAAATTATTACATCAATCACTGTTAAATTTCCATTTTATCTAAACATCCATCATGCGAGTTATATTAGTTTGGTTTATTAATTACGAGGTAACCTGTTAATAATATTTTGAAGTTCCTATCTTTTGTTTTGACGACAGCACAGGAAAACAAATATTTGGGCTTGCAAGAAGCGTAATTTATGGCTCAAATCAAGTGAACATATTCCATATAATTGGGTTACCAGGGATAGCGATCCCTCAAAATTTTTAAATTATCATATGTTTAACTTTTTTGATATTTTCTACGAATAACATGTTTTAATTGCATAACATTTTTTAAGTTCGTTTATTTTAAAATTTATTCTCCTCACATAACATCCTACGCCATTTAATAGTAATAGAGCGTGTGACTTGGGAAAGTTGTCAATCCAATAATCTAAACTATGGAAGAAACATGTGGGAGAATCCATCCAAACATATCCTGGAATCATGGCAGATGGTGGGTCTGGTTGTGTTATCTTTACAAACAGGAGGAAAAAGCCTTCAATAATTTGGATAAGTTGAAAAGCATTCGATAGTCCCTTTCCAGGGTTGCTTTGTTAGGCAGACAAGCTGATGGGACTAAGCCAGCCTTGTCATTTTCTGATTCCAAGTGCACTGATCTTCCCCTCTATATAATACCATGAAGAAGCTTTGTTCCATTAAGAACAAATATATCAGCTTGAATATGGCAGCCTTGTGCTCAAAATCAGCAGGGATCCCAAAGCTTCGACTATGGCGGAGGTGCTCAAGGCTTGTGAAGGAGAAGAAAACACGGTTTTACATTATATGGAGATGTACGGTGCTGCTTCTACGTTGGGAGGAGTGAAGTTTTGAAGGTTTAACTTTAGCTGGAATATTTAGAATCTTTGTATATTTGCAGGTTTGTAAATCAACTGAAAGGTTTGCTGGCTTCTTCTAATACTGATTGTTTTTTTTGGGGGGGTTAGAATCAGCGCAAATGATGGCTTGCTTAGGTAGAACGTATACAGATTTGTACAAGATGTAGTAATTGTAAAATGTGAGGTGTTTGCTTTCAAATTTATCCTCAAAAAGTGTTTCCTACTATCTTTAAAAGCTTAGGGAAAGCAAAAATTGTCCGAAGTTTTTGAAGGAACATCTTTTATTGTTAATTTATCTATTTATTCTCTTTTTAATGGTTGAAGAATGAGAAATTGATAAATAGAAATTACAACAATGGCATCAGAACCGTGTTCTATGAATATAGGGTTTGCAGTATATCACCTATAAGGTTTCCGTATAAAACATGGTTTTCACTCCTATGTATCATCTAACATCAATAATTAAAGTGTTGTTCTCCCTATAAACCTCGGGCATGAGCCTTGAGTAACTAAAAAAAACTCCATACAAATATTATCTTATAGTCGTCCAATACTATTAAAAAATCAATAGTACATTTCCCGAGACAAAATTCGTCAAAAACTCAATGCAAATCCATCTTCACAAAATCATGTTTCAACTCCATATTTCATCACCTAAGCTGAAAAATAAAGTAGTTTCAGATTGTTTGGGAGTTATAATTACAATTCCCTTTATCTGAATATATATAGAAAAACCATTATGCACAAAAATAAAAATCATTAAAGACACTCATACTCACGCCTCATCACTGGAATCAATCCTGAAAGTTATAAATTCGTTTCATCACTTGTTCTCAGCAGGCTAGTAGAAGAGTCTGAATCACTCTAGGCAGCTTTCTTTGTGGCTTGACCTTTGCTTTGGACTCCCTGGATCAAATTACATTACTTAAAACACCATACAAATAATAATAAAAATGTCTTCGTTTCTTTTTCCTGTTTTCGGTTTAGTTTGCACAAAGGAAAAGAAATTATTAAAGCTTTGATTTTTATAAATAAATCTGAAACCCCTTTTTCTTTTCTTTTTTCCTCTTTTTATTTTTAGAAATTGATGTTTCAAAACTTTCTGATGATGCAAACGACTCCAGATTCCAGAACAGATGAAGCATATCCATCTGTGACGAATAAAAGACGGAAAGTGCTAAAATTAAAGTTTCCTTACCGCTCCCTTCTGAACAGTTAGCCTCCTACTTGACGGTGCACGTGCCACTGATGAAGCAGCGGCAGCTGCGGCAGCTCGGATTCTGCAAAACAGATGATATTTGCATCCGTTCTTATTTTTCATTCTTTCAGGTGTAATTGAATGAGAATAAAGTTCAAACAGTCCAATACCTCTTATGCACATCAACATATTCATCGGTTTCATCCACTATCTCCTCCTGCATTAGTAAAAAATGGTTAGCTAGTAAACCCCTTAATGCTATTTGGACTAAGAAAAGATATCATTTTAAACAATTTACTTCATTACCGATAAAATTAATTGATATAGAATTTATATTTTCAATCCTTATATATATAATCGTTTTCTTTTACTAGGATAGATGACATATGAATAAGGAACACTAAATACAGTGATGGAATCCTTTACAAATGAAGAAATTATTCAAAAGGTGACAAATATGTTGATTGAAAACGAACAAAAGCCAGAGAACTGTCTCTTCAGGAGAGACATTTCAAGCAAGTCACATTGTTATATTATAAGAAGAGGTATTGAATACAGTGGTCTGAAGACTGGGATTTTATTCGTTAACCAAGATTATGAATTTATTCAGCATTCATTTATTGAGGTTTTACTGATATTTACCTGCAAAAGTTCTTCAAAAACATCTTCTAGTGTGATAATACCAATCACTTCACCATCTTCAATATCCCCTGATGTGGCAGACAGTCCATTTGTTGCAGCATCTTGCCTGATTGTATTGGTAACTCGCTATGACTTATCTATGTCAACAACAACGCTCTCTGGCTTCTCATCCAGCTTGGATAGCAGCGGAGTAGTCAGTTGAGAATCTGCACTGGCGACTTTGTTTTCCTCAGATTTTAGTTCATCAAGGGTTGGAGGAAGGTTCTTATTTTTTTCCTTTTGCCTTCACAACAGCTGCCATATGACTGCTGCCCTTTTGAAACTCATTCAGAATATCATAGAGAGGCATGTCAGCCGGAACCCTGTCAAACATCCCGAACATGAACACTAAACTAGCTGGATATTTTATACCTGCACAAAAATAATAAGCATATATCAATAAGTAAGAAACCTTGGGATTCTCCTGATGGAAACTGCACTGACTGGTGTCTCAGTTTCAGGACGTACAGTGAGAAGACTTTTCACCTTATTCCAATTTCAATAAAAAAATATTACATATGTGGAATAAGCAAAATAACCAACAAGATCATAAAAAACTTTAGACCCAAATGCATGACTGCTATGAGACCTCATCTAACGTTTAAAGTCTAACACATACCAGCAGAAGTCCAATAATATTTTTGGGATTCCCTAAGTAGACAGGGACTCGGCTATGACCACGAGCGAGGATCTTACCCATTGCCTCCCTGGGGTAGTTCATTCAAGATTGAAGATCAGATAGAGAGTGATGAATAGAAATTTATTACATAAATTCTTTTAGCATTTCAACTAAGATTAAGGAAACAACACAAAACAAACAGATTTGACAGTTATATTGGACTTCATTGACACATATAGAGGCTTTATGATAGAAACTATTAATATAAACATGCTAATGAACAGGAATCAGTTAATAAGGAAGCTTTAACTTGTTAATCTTTCTTTATGACAGATCTGGAGGAGGGTATAAGTTGTATCAAACACAAACTTTAGCACTTAAAATGATTGATGTATTAATCCTTCTTGTATCAAACTATAATATGAATTAAGGAGCAAATATTACCAGTCCAACTTTGAATTGACATCTAAAGAGAAAGTTGACTCTATAGGTGTCATAGCCTCTTCAGCAGTCTGTCCAAGTATTATAACAGAACAGGAAAAATTAGTTTAAGATGCCAAGGAAAATTGATAAATTGTTTTGAACTGATTTTAATGAAGCCACATGATAGAAAAAAATAAGTATGTAAATACCATAATTTATACTAACTATAATTTTCCACTTTTGCACAGCATGTGACCACTATATCAGTAACAGTCATCAACCACATCACCTCTGTAGAAAGAGATTTTAACTAAGGAATAACATTACTTTTGTAGCTCACTTCTGCCTCTGTTTTGATGATGTAGCAGTTTTTGAACTGCTTTATAGAATGAAAAAAAAATCACTTATCCAAAAAATGATAATATTTACTTCTTGATGCATACCTTTTCAGTCAAATCTAGTGCTCCACTAATAATTGTTGTCTCATCATGTGTGAGCTCACCTCCTTTGCCAGCCTAAATAGTTAGATCAAGAAAAAGAAATGAATGTAACAGTAATCTTCTGCCATTTATAGGACTCTTCAAAATTTAGCAAACTTCTATCATGGGATTATATCATGTAATGTGCAGCGACATAAAATTGATTTACCTCCTGGCTATGGATGGAGACAAGGGCTTTTAGTTGAGCACGCCTAAATAGTGCTTCATTATGCCCCAGCACCCAATCAAGAATCTGGAAAATATATACAACTTTAGTGCTTCATCAATTATAAGGGTCTGTTAAAACCACATAAATGGAAAAACAAACTTTAACAGGAACTACTGTTGTCAAGGCATGCGCCTAGGCATTACACCTTAGAGCCAAAAAACGAAAGCGCCTCAAGCCTCGAACCAATTCAGGCAAGGAGCATTTAATCAGGCTTATGCCTGGTGCGATTACATGGGCTTTTTAGTGCAATAGGCACAAGAAGCCCGCCTGAATAAAGTTATATTTCATTTCTTTTATTTTTAACTTTTTACCTCTCGATTTTTGAGTATTAAACAACAGCCATGAGACAATAAGGAAGACATGCATATCAGCAACAAAAGAAGAAAGAAAAGTTGCATTGGTTTTAGATGAAACTACACGTATAGAGTTTATTACCACAACCATATAGCTTCAAGTTATTATTACATATAATGTACATAGTCGCATACAAAAATATCTTAGACATATTTGTGCCTTATTTTACTTGGACTTTTTTTGGCAGCCTTGATAACAGAAATATGTTTAGATTAGATCTTCTCTACCATTTCCTTCTTCCTTCTCTTTATATCAGATGTGGGTGGGAAGGGGAAAATGAAGCTTTCATTCTACACTAATATTGAGGAAAGCAAATGAAAGAAATGATCATTTTCTCTGATTCTACCTCCTCCCTCTTCCCTCCCCTGCCTACATGATTTCTTCCACCTTCGAGATGGAAAAGGGTCAAACTGAAATAGTTGCATAAACTCGGATAGGGAGAAAACCCATACCACCTCACATTTGAACCTTGATATTCCCCCAAAGAAAATAATTAGGAAAGAAAAGACAAGAACATTATAACAGGCAAATCATAGAATACATTTTCTTAAATTTCACTAATATTTTTGTTAGTTGTGTTTAGCAATTTATATGAATTTATATTTTATAAAAAAAATATAATGCCTAAAACAATCTTAAATAAATTTTCATAAAATTTTATTCCATTCAACATTAAATTTTTTCTTAAATTTCACTTTCAAAAAGTATACATCTTAAATTTCTTTCCAACCATTTTGACAAGAATTTTAAGAATTTTCTCATTTCAAGAGTACAACTCGTGTACTGATGGCCTTCGAACTTACCTTTCCAATGGGATAAGCTATTGGATAGCAAATGATCATCAAAACCCGCACAAGGCCTGCAAGATTTGCACCTACTGCAAGCCCATATCTTGAGCATATTGCTTGTGGAATAACCTGAAAAGCAAAAGAACTAATTTTGGTCAAGGAATAAAAGTAGAACAGCCTACCTCACCAAAAGCTAGAACAAAAGTCACAGAAAGTATGATAGCAACATATTGATTGAAAAGCTTGTCCAGGTATATAGGGAGGGCCTGCAAGCAGTAAACATCAATGCTGTCAACGAAAGTCAACCTTCTCTCAAACATCCTTAGAATATGAAATACATGGTAAATTTCAAGTAAAGTAATACTTGATAGTCACGAAGCAACTTCATTATCAATAGATAGCCTCCACAACATAGCAAGCATAAATAAGGTAGTGATTCTAAGTTTCTAGCACGCTATTTACGGACAAGGTGATGAATCAGTTAAAAACCAAGGTATTGCATTTCACAGCTAGTTATTTAATAATGGGGAACTACCAAAAATCTTACTTTATATGATATACTAATTGCTTAGAAAAGGAATGACCTAGCTATAAAATAGAATAACTACTCCAGGTTAAACACTTCTTAGTAATCTGAGCCTAAATGCCTACTTGACAGAAACGAAACCCCATTCTTAAAAGTACATAGTGAGGGTTTTGGCACTCATCTCCCCGTACAATGCTCCAACATACTTGCATGTAACGTAAGGATTAAGGAACAGCATTAAGTATCATCAAGTCATTATTGAGACCTCACTAGAAACAAAAAATTTCATTTTTTATCTTAATTTCTTAAATGCATTAGAAGATCAGCTTTCTAGCAAATCTTATTCCAATCACAAAACATTGCTTGGTCAAAACTTTGAATTTATCCAACTATAATTTTTTTAGCATCAATCAAACAAACAAACATGGCATTTCCACTCAAATTTATACCAAACTGAACAGAAGAAAGTTGTTAAAAAGTTTTTACCTCCATAGCAGCAGCATTGCAAAGAAGCAATGTCACCAAAAGCTGATGCTGTTTTTGAACTACTGGCAAAATAGCAGCTGAAGAAAACCAAAAGCGATTTTCTTAATCATCAAATTCCAAATCAAACAATAATAGCAATCTAAATCCAGTCATTCCTCCACAACTATTCCAAATCAAAACCAAAACCAAAACAAAAATTAAAAACCATATTTTCTCTACCAGCTTGCTTTTTCTCGGAGGAAGTGCCGCTCCGTTGTAGAATTTCGAGTTCGTCGGGACCAAGCGACATGAGTCCGAGAGTAAGACCGGACATGATCCCCGCAAAATAACTAAAAAGCAAGAAATGCCGGCGTAGATGAACCACCATGGAGATCCGAACGGAATCCCTTCTCCGGGGGACGAGGACGCCGTGTTGAACAGCATCCTGGCCGTCATAACCGCGTTTAGCGGATGCATCGGTAGGGGTGTTCAAATAACCGAACTAATTCGGTTAACCGACCGAATCAAATTAGTTCGATTAATTTGATTCGGTTATCGAATTAGTTCGGTCGGTTAACGGTTAAAAAAATTTTTAAAATTCGGTTAACGTTTAATTCGGTTTGAATTCGGTTAATTAATCGAATTAACCGAAATTAAATTTTAAATATTAAATATATTATATAATATATGGGCTCAACCCAAATCATTTAAAACCCAATTAATAATTTAAGATCTAATAACTTTTAAACTTAAATTAATATTAATTAATTAAAAAATTATATAAATTTTTTATTTTATAATTATATATTATTTAAATTATTTTTAAACTGTTTTTTAATTAAAAAATATTAAATATATTATATATAATATATGGGCTAAGCCCAAACTATTTAAAATTCAATTAATAATTTAAGATCCAATAACTTTTAAACTTAAATCAATATTAATTAATTAAAAAATTTATCTAAAATTTTTATTTTATAATTATATATTATTTAAATTAATTATAAATTTTTTTTGAATTAAAAAAATATTTAATTTTTATATAAATTAGAAAATTTTAAAAAAAAATCGGTTAATTCGAAACCGAAATTTATTCGGTTCAATTAATATGTTCAAAAAAAATTCGGTTCGATTAACGGTTAAAGAAAAAAAAATTAATTAATTCAGTTATGATTAATACGGTTCGACCGATCACCATTTTAACAGAATGAACATCCATATGCATCGGGGTTATTTCTATTTCCAATCAGAGGGAGTCCCGAGGAAGAGAAATGAAGAGACAGACTTCTATCCTTTTGATCTTTCTCGGTCCCGTGCAATATAATGACCAAATGTGTCAGTGAATTGGGTAAGGTTTGATACGCTGGGGTTTGGTAAATACATATTTTTGTCAACAGAGTGGACGGTGATTCTAGTTACCATGTATACGTGGCAGGAAACTGTTGCCGCTATCTTAATATGCTTCTGTTCAAAATGCAAAATCAACTTTTCTTCATCCTTCTTTTTTGGTTTAATTAAAAAAGATTTTCTTATATTTTTAATTTTATATGTTTAATGGTTTTCCCTAAAATATATGTATAACATTTTCAAAGTTATTATTTAGGTCAATTAAAAAATCAATCATTTAATATGTGATTTATACATTTTTTTAAAAAATTAAAAGGAAAAAACTACATTTCTATTCATCCACCTATTTTTAAATTATACCGAACGTTATATTTTAATTATGTTTTGATTATCTATCATTAAAAGATAAATAAAACTACTTATATAACATTTTTTAATAATAATATGATATTATCTTATAATTACATGTTAACATTATCGTTAATATTTTTAAAAAGAAAAATTTATATATATATATATATATATATATATAACAATGTATGAGTCTTGTCTAAATTTAAGCCTAGTAAAACTTAGACATCTGAAGAGCATTAAAACCCGAAAGTTTTTATAACCCAAAATTCATTTGGAATTTATAGGTGCACAATCTGTCAAATGACCAGATAATTTGTTTTCTGATATTGGAGGTTCTTTAATAGACAGAGCAAATAGAAAGATCTTTGTGAAGACATTACATTTAAATGTAGACAATCTTGAGAGCTTGCCTAACAAGAACAAAAAAAAATGCATCAGGACCATGTACTCTTTTAAAATATTAATATAATCTTTCAACTCAAAAAAATAAATTTAATGGGGTTTTTAACTAATATTTTTTATAATTGATTTTACAGTATTGACGTGACAGTTCACGATGTTAACGTGACAATTTACGGTATTGACGCGATAATCAATTATGGCATATGGATAAAACAGGTCTTTTAGTTTTGTTCGAGGGTCAAATCTTTTATTCGAGTTTATTTGATTAAATCTTTAACATTTTTCTTATATGATACTTGTATGATCTTAAGTTTTATTTTTTTTATTAAGCTAAAGTGATTACAAAGTTATATAAATATTATCAACCATTTGACAATAAACGTTCAATCACTCTGCTATAAGTACCGATACTCAAACCCATAACCATTAGAAATAACAACGATTCCATTAAGAGAAAATAACTTAGTGACCCAAAAATGCCTTATAATATACGATTTTAACCAACTTTTTTTGGATTTGCAAAAATAACCAACGAATTCGCAACTTGAATTCGTCAATTTTGCAACACGAAAGCCAATTTCGCAACACAGTTTCCGAATTCGCAGCACATAAATCGAATTCGCAACTCGAATTTGACATTTTTCGCAACACGAATTTCTTTTTCGCAACTCGATTTTTAAATTCGCAACATGAATTTCGAGTTGCGAATTTGATTTTCAAGTTGCGAAATCCATATTCAAGTTACGAATTCAAAAATTGAGTTGCGAAATTGGTGAATTCGAGTTGCGAAATTCGAATTCGAGTTGCGAAATTAAAATTCGAGTTGCGAATTTGAAAAATGAATTGCGAATTTGGTAAATTCGTGCTGCGAAATGTAAATTCTTGTTGCGAATTTGACTTCGTGTTGCGAATTCGGAATTGAATTACGAATTCATTGGTTATTTTTGAAAACCCAAAAAAAATAGTTAAAATCGTATATTATAAGATATTTCAATCACTCAAGTTATTTTCTCTTTCATTAATCACTAAAATAAATTGATTTAAGTTGATCTTAATTGATTTTTAATGATTTTAGGAATATATTCTTATTATGTGTCCCAGTTTACCATTATAGTTGTAAGCTTTTATTATAGTTTAGATACTAATATTTTTTTCCTTTTAAATAAAAAGGAAGGGTTATCTTGTAAATAAAATAACTTTAAATAAAAATAAAATATGAACTTTCAAAAGGTACAATAAAAGAGTACATCTTAATAAAACGAGATTAATAATTCAACTACCAATTTACGTTTTTAATCTTTCATAGGATTTTACAAGCGAGATCGAATGAAAATTGTTTTCCTTTTAGAATCCTGAAGTTCCATTTCCTTTGAGCCTTGAGGTATCTTCTTCTTCGATGGATTTGATCCTCCAGCAACTTTGTCTGCAACAGTCTTACTTTGTAGTTTAATGTCTTCCATTTTTGTTAATTGTCTCTCCTCCTCCGATATTTTCACATTTTCCAATTTCAATCTCTTTCGTTCATCTTTTAACCTTTCCTGCACAATTGTTTGGTACAGTTTCTTCCCACCTGCAATTCTCGCACCAAATATTGGAACAAATTAATTAGCATATTAAAACAATATAATTAAAGCTATCCTGTTCATCACGATTATTAGAATCACAACATTTTGATATTAATATATAACAATCATAATTATAATCACACAATTTGTAATGATTTTTAAACCTAAAAATAATTGTAAATTCGATCACGGATATCGGCTAAAAACAAAGAAGTCACCACTGTGATTTTATGCAAAAATGGAAAAAATCAAGCTCAATTAAAGTTTAATTGATGTGAAATTCTAGCGAATCCACAGATGATAGAGAGAGAGAACGAACCAGTGAAACCTTTGAGGGAGACGTTAATGGCTGAATCAAGGGCAGATTTGCCCAAATTCATTAGGAATCTTCCAATATTGAGGCGTCGATCAGTTTTCAAAACGTTGCGAGAAATATACGCCATGATCGAAAGCTACAAAGACGATCAGGTGGAAAAAAACAGGACTCAAAATAAACAAGAACCGAAGCAGGAAGAAAAAAAAGGATAAGACTGAGTTCACAAAGAAATCACTGCAGGTGATTGAAACTGATTCACACGTGTGAAATCCACCGCCAAATAACTATGTTTCGTACGCGTGTGAAAAACAACACTCAAAAAAGATTTACGGTAAATCTCGAGACTCTGAAGCTTTACGTGTAAGTCTATGATAATCTTTAACTAAATTAATCGATCGAATCGAATTAGTTCGGTTAATTCGGTTGGTAATCGAATTAATTTGGTTGGAGAACGGTTAAGGATTTTTTTGAAATTCGGTTAACAGTTAATTCAGTTCGAAATCAGTTAATTAACCGAATTAACCTTTAAATATAATTATATTAAGATGCCCAATCTATTTAAAACCCATTTAAAACCCAAATCAATATTAATTAATTAATTAAAATAATATCAAAACTAAATACAAAATGTTTGAATCAAATTAATTAGATATTATTTATAATTAGATATTATTTATAATTAGATATTATTTAAATTAATTGTAAATTGTTAATTTTAATTAAAAAAATATTAAATTCTAAAATTCTAAAAATTTTTGGTTAATTCGAAAATTAACCGAATTAACCAAAATTTATTCGGTTCGGTTAATATTTTCGAAAAAAAATCGATTCGGTTAACGGTTAAAGAAAAAAAAAATTCGGTTAATTCGAAAATAGTATTTCGGTCGGTTCGGCCACCGAATTAACCGAATGAACACCCCTATTCATAAGTAAAGATCTTTGAAAATCTCTAGTGCCTCCGGACCCGACGTACCAGGTGATATTATATCATTTTTGAAATCATCCTCTTTGAAGTTCGTTCTCCTCAAATAACAACAGCCCCACGATTAGGTTATGTTAATCCCGTATACTATACACATCATTTTAGATGATATATTTGACTAGAATAAATAATAAAATTATCTCTAAAAAATATTAACATATTTAACATACTTATTTTGATAGATATAAAATAGTGAGATATAAGAGTAAAAAAAATATAAGTGTTGTTTGTTGATTTTTTTAATAAGACACTTTAAATGAGTCAACTTTAAAAAAAACATATTTAATGGGACGAACGGAGTAATTTATTAGAAGTAAACCAACTTAAACAACTAAAATCATTTTGTTTAAACTAATCTAAGAATAATTATCGTCATTATAAGTTTGATACCATCCATCCTATAACTGAATACTTATATCATGAGGGAAGGTTGATAGAGAGACTCTCTTTCCACTTTCTTCACTCTCATTCCCTCTATATGCTTTCATATCTTTCATAAAAAAATATCTATTCATAGTCGAAACTTCATCGACGACTACTCTACATCCAAATTAGAAGTGGTAAACTTCTAATGACTAACAAGACAAACTTATTTTCGACAATAATTGATGTGATGAACATGAAACACTTCCCGATAAAAAAATCAGTCGAAATGAAACCTTACATCCCCTGCTCAAACAATCTTGTGAGTCCACAACCTCTCAACCTGTTTAATAATTTGTTAATGCCGCTCTTGAGCTTGTAACATATTATAGGTACATATGAGATAGATGATATTTTTGGGAAAGATCTTGGTCAAATCTAGAGAAATTTTCTAAAAGAAAGATGGATTTGTCAAAATAAATTTATAGATTGAAATCTGATTCGATACTATACAAAAATGAATATTTTAGAAAAAAATATATGTTAGTACATGTTAATGTTGTAATGCAAAAAAGGTTTCTGTTTATATTGTATATTGTAACGTGGAAAACGTTCCTTGTTAGCTTTGTTTTCTCCCATCCGCCTCCGCCGCACTGGTTGATTGCTCAGCTGCTTCGGTTTTCGTCTATCAAATTAGTTAGTAAGAATATTCTCCTGTCTTCTATTATAGAAGCATTTTTGGAGTTAGGTTCAGTGTCGTTAGTGTTCATTGTTATTAGAAGTGGAAGGAGTCTATGTGTTGGATCCTCGTTTGTGTTTGGTAGGTTCAGAAGCAAGCATAAAAGCCAGTTTTGCAGTCTGGGGGGCAGATGGGAGGTTGAGGGAGGGGTTCAGATTTAAAGCTATTCTTGTTAGATCTTCGAAAGCTAAAAGCATCATATTTGTTTTTGGCAATTTGGCGAAGAGGGTGTGGAAGCGGGCTCTACGTTATTCCAGGTCTTTTAAGGTCGTTTTGGGCGGGTGATATGTTGTTGGTGTTCGGTTTCAGGAATTTGTTTCAGTGTTTTAGCATTCTAGGTTAGTTGTTTCGGGTGCATTGTTCCTTGTCAGCTTTTCGATAGATCGCTACCCTTCATTTTTAGAATGGTATGAGCTTAGTTTCAATAGGATTATATGGGCTATTTTTATAGTTATTCCTGTGTCAGGGTGGAGCATTTATTTCTTCATTGATTTAGGGATCTAGTGGAGTTCTGTTCGTTTAATCCATGAAGAAACGAGTTTTAGAGTCCGTCTTGTTGAAGCCATATTGTTTTTGGGTGTGCAGTGTGATTCGGTGGTAATGGAGAGATGTTCAGTTACTTTTTATGGCAGGGATTTTTCCACTTTTTCCTTTCGGTGGTTCATGAAGAAGATAGTAAGTGCATTGTTGACACTTTGGCCGGCGGTGGAGCGATGATCACAACAGTTGATGGTGATGGGATTTCCTCTTGGTTGTAGGAGGGCTCCGATGCAATTGTTAGTTTCGAGGTAGTTTAGTTGAAGATAGATTCGATGAAGCTGAGGAAGAGGTGTGTTGGTGGAGTTCTGACATGTTGATTCCCACATGTCATTCTTTTTGTGGGATTTTAGGAGGTTGTTGGAGTCAGTTTTTTAGTGGTGCCCATACTGTCTTTTGATGGGCTTTTTATTTTTTGGTGGGCGATTGTTTTGGTTTAGTAGGTTTCATGTGTGTTGCTCTTTTCAGTGGACAAAATCACGAATAATTATATTCAGTTTAGCTCTTTTCAGTGGAGGTTTGATGGGTGGAAAGGTGATGTTGTTAGTTGTTTTATTTAGTTTGTGTTTTATTGTTCTTGGTTGATGTGGTCAGCTCGTGGTAATTTGTTTGGTTAATTGGGGAATTTCGTGGAAGGGTCGTTTTGGAGGCTTTCGAAGAACTTTGTTATGGAGGCTTTCGAAGAACTTTGTTATCTCAGGCAGTGGTGTTTCTTTGTAGCACGGCTAGAATTATTACGATGGTCGGTGTGGATTGCTTTAGTGATTGATGTAATTGTGTTCTGGCCTTAGTTTTATTTCCACCTCATGGTACACTCTTTTTCCTCCAATAGGTTTAGGGAGGTTTTTTAATGAGATCCATGGGGTGGTGTACCTTGTATCTTTTTAATACAAAGTACCCATATTGCAAAAAAAGAATATGTATATATATACAAGAAAGTCGAAGTCCTTCCATTATTGAAATACCAAAATCGTTCAAAGATACGATCTCGATTCTCGACACATCACATTAGTTATTATTTGTACCTCAAACATATTTACATCCTCTTTGTCACAGTATGAGATACTTGTACTATGCTTTCTTAATAGAGTTGCATCTCTTTTGACTTAAGAGCATTGAGTTGTTTTCGTTCTGAATATTGAGATGCCTTCACTCCATTCTAAATTCAAATATTAGTGTCACCAACGATTGAACAAAAAAGTTGAGATTCCTTCTAACATCGAGAAGCATATGCTTGCTAATTGTTAAATTGTTGAGTTGCCTCCGAATGCATTGAGTTATCTTTACTCCAGCTTACGACTGTGAATTTACTTGAGGGAACGAGATGCCTTTGACTTGTTTCTACCATGACAAAAATGCCTTAGCTTTACCTGTCGTAACTTATATGCGCTGAGAAACAAAATGCACCCTTCGTAGTGCATTGTCACAAATTGAGTAGCCACCTTTACTTGATTGAAAAATGTTGAGATGTCTTACGCTCTTATCAAACTATACGATACGTCCTACAATCAACTGAAAAACCTTCACTCTAACAAGTATCTAGATGTCCCCCAATGACAGATCCAAAAATATTTTTAGGGTGAACATACATATATATTAATAATAAAAAGAGAAAATAACCTTAGTGACAAAAAATGCCTTATAATATACGAATTTAACCAACTTTTTTTGGATTTGCCAAAATGACCAACAAATTTGCAACGCGAATTCCAATTTCGCAACCCAGTTTCCAATTTCGCAACGCGAATATGTAAATCGCATTGTGATTTTCCAAATTCGCGTTACAATTTTCCAAATTCGCGTTCCGATATTCCAAATTTGCAACGCGATAGTCAAATTCTCAACGCGAAAGTCAAATGTTTTTACGCGAAACACAATATTAATTTCGCAACACAAATGTAAACAATATTATCACAAATCATCTCTAACCTAAAACCCTAAAGCACAACTCAGTCCCATCTCCATCTCTCACTCTCTACGACGACATCCGTCTCCATCTCTGACAAAATCCGTCCTCATTTCCGACGAAATACGTCTATCTCCATCTCTCATATCAACCCTCACAACCATTCACGGTCAAAAATGGAAAATCAACCACCGAGGGTTAGTTTTTTTAATCTCTTATTTTAATTTTGAAATTTTTGTATTATTATTAGATTAACCATTTCACTGAGATTGCTAAATTCATTCGGTTGCTGTCAATACTACTAAACTGTTTAGTCTTTAACCCTGTGAAGTTAGTATTTGTCTTTGTTTTGTCTTTTTATTTTGCCTTTTTGTTGAAGAAACCCTAAATCGCAACACCAAATTCACAACGCGAAACTAAAATCGCGTTGCTATTTTCATTTTCGCGTTGCGAATTTAAGTTTCAGAAACTTCTTTTATTCACCAAATTGAAACTTGAATGAATTGTATTACTTCAACCAAAAAACAAAGACAAATACTAACTTCATTGTGTTGCTAATTTATGTTTGAAGAATAAACTACTACTCTTTATGTTGTCCTTTTAAATGTTTATATAAGTGCTTACTTCTGGAATG